ACACGCGTGCGTGCACACACACGCACACACACACACACACAGAATGTCTTTGTAATGTACTCATCATTAATACCATAGTAATTGTTCAACAGAAATGTAATTACTGTATATTCAAATTGCCCATGATATATTTTACTTATTTGTTACTGGTTTATAAGACCTAATAAAGAAGTAATGCTGAATGAGCAGTGTTGTTAAAGGTACATTTTAGAGGTAAAAATATCACCCATGGTAGTAGGGAGATTATAGGCTCCATTTCTGGGAGCAGCCTCTCTTACTTGCTCCTTCTGATTTGCCAACTCTCATTTATACATCACAGGCATGTGCACAGGGCCAGTTACCAGTTGTCAGGAGCAGTATCTTAGGTGCTCCTTGATAGGTATCTAACAAGGGATGGCAAAAAGCTAATCATATAAGCACCAGCTATTAAGCATCTTCTAGGAGCCAGGCATGGTTCTAAGTTTTATATATGTGATCTTAATCTTTAAAACTGAAACAAAAACAAATTATTTGTCCAAGGCCACAGCCTCCTAAGCAAAACAACCCAAGGATGAATGAAGAGGACTAGCAGACCAAGACTGGAACAGTGCTGGGCTTCTTTTTCTCCTTTCTTCTGTTCTTTTTTATTCTCCCTCTTGTACCTTTTTCTTTTTGCTATTGCTTCGAATCATTTTTCACCGCTTTTTGCCTTAAAATAAATACACTTTCATGTACTTCATCTCTAACATAATAGACACGGAGGATTAAAGGTAAATTCAGATGGATGAATAGATTAGAAAACATGGAATATAATTCCTAGATCTAAAAGCTCTAAGATAAGTCATTATCTTAAATTACTTTGCACTCGTGGCTCATACCTGTAAACTCAGCTACTCTGAGGAGGATGAGATCTGAGGACTAAGGTTTGAAGCAAGTCCAGACAAAAAAAGTCCATGAGATTCTTCCCTCCAGTCAATCAGTGGAGGTATAATACAAGTGGTAGAGAACCCGTCTTGAGGGAATAAGGTAAGTGAGAGCATAAGGCCTAAGTTCAAGCCCCAGTAATGGCAATCATACACAAAAAATATTTTGTCTGAGTGAGATAATCATATTTTCATGTGTTAGGCCACTGTAGATAAATATGTAGTAAAATATATACAAACATTGTAAATACATATCTTTAAATATAAAAATATTGAAGCGGGCTGGGAAGGTGGCTCAGTGGTAGAGCGCTTGCCTTGCATGCATGAGGCCCTGGGTTCGATTCCTCAGCACCACATAAGCAAAAACAAAAAAGGCGGAAGTGGCGCTATGGCTCAAGTGGTAGAGCGCTAGCCTTGAGCCTTGAGCTGAAGAGCTGAGGGAGAGCGCCCAGGCCCAGAGTTCAGGCCCCACAACCCAACCCCCCCAAAAAATATATATATAGAAGCATATTTTCAAGTAATGTTATATGATTTCATTTTTTCTTTCTTTTTTTTTTTGGTCAGTCATGGGGCTTGAACTCTGGGACTGGATGCTGTCCCTCAGCTCTTCAGCTCAAGGCGAATGCTCTACCACTTGAGCTACAACGCCACTTCTGGTTTTCTGGTGGTTTATTGGAGATAAGAGTCTCACGGACTTTCCTGCCAGGCTGGCTTTGAACCAATATCCTCAGATCTCAGCCTCCTGAGTAGCTAGGATTACAGGCGTGAGCCATCAGTGCCCGGATTCATTTTTTCTTATATATGAATTTTGCATTGCTCTTCTCTGTACATATTTTTCTTTTGAAGGAAGTTTTAAGAAATACTTTATTTCACTTAACAATTTCAATCTAAACCTTTCCTTTAATATGGTATTTTCAGGATTGGTAGGATTTATTTTTAAATATTACATCTTGTTAACTAAGCTTGTTAGATTCTCTGCATAGATTGTTTACTTTTTACTAGTCTCTGTGGGGTTAATTTGTCACCATTAATAGATGCATTTTCTCTATTCTGTGTTGAATACTCCAGGGTTTTCTAGTAAGACCAAACACTGCTAACAAAACTACATTATAATCTTGTCTTAGAATTGTCTCCACCATATATGTCTGAAGCTTTATAAAGAATATCAGAGTAAGAAATAACTTTTGGAAGACTATGTTACCAAATATCTTAGTAAAACTAATCTTAGAACCTTAGATTTTTAAGCATCTTTTTTCTATCAAATATTCTTTTACTTATGAAAGATATGTGTAAAACAGGATTCTTAACAATACCTTTTGTAATAGAACTTTTTGTGTGTGCTAGTACTGGGGCTTAAACATAAGGCCTTATGCTCTCATTTGACTTTTTTTTACTTAAAGATGGTGTTCGATCACTTGAGCCATATTTCTGCCTCCAGCTGTTTTGGTGGTTCATTAGAGATAAAAGTCTGCAGACTTTTCTGTCTGGGCAGGCTTTGAACCACAGTCTTGTGAGTAAGATTACAGATGTGGGCCACCAGTATCTGGGAAACTTTTTAAATGGTACTTTTTTCCTCTGGCACAGTTTAAAAACCTAAAAACAGACAAAATTCACTTCTCCACTTGTCTACGAGCAAATTTAGATGTGTGACATATATGTATATATACATATATTTCATATATACAGTACTTACGGGAAGAAGGACTGATAAATCCTAACTAACTAAAACAAACACTGTTATTGAGCAGTACTCAAATTTGATGTGTTTCTGTAAATCTGGTAAAGTGTTGAAACGTTGTTTTGAAACATTAAAGGATATTATTTCTACTTTTTATTTTTAATTCAGTTTCATCAAATTGGTAATGCTTAATTGTACATGATAACTAATTAAAATAGTGAGGGTTCTTTCCATTATTATCCATGTTGTCACTAAATATCAGGTACCACATGCTTTTGTACCTTATAGAGTTTTAATTAATATAACTAAGAAGTTCTTAATAGGAAGAGCTGAAGCCAACATCTGAACAGAAATCTCTCATTCACAGCAAAGCCTCTGCTTTTGTCTGGCTCCTTGGTACTAAGGCCAATTTCAGTCAAGTGGTTTTGAAAGAGGAGAGGGTGTTTTGTTTTGTTTTTTGGTCCGGTTGTGGGGCCTGAACTCTGGGCCTGGGCGCTGCCCCTCAGCTCTTTAGCTCAAGGCTAGAGCTCTACCACTTGAGCCACAGCGCCACTTCTGGCTTTTTTCTTTTTGCTTATGTGGTGCTGAGGAATCGAACCCAGGGCCTCAGGCATGCAAGGCAAGCGCTCTACCACTGAGCCACCTTCCCAGCCGGAGAGGGTGTTTTATTTGGGGAGAAGAGCAGAAAATACTGCTTCTTCAGCCAGGTGCCAGTGGTCACGCCTGTAATCCTAGCTACTCAGGAGGCTGAGATCTGAGGATCCCGGTTCAAAGCCAGCCCGGGCAGGAAAGTTTGTGAGACTCTTATCTCCAATAAACTGCTAGAAAACCAGAAGTGGTGCTATGGCTCAAGCAGAAGAGTGCTTGCCTTGAGCTGAAGAGCACAAGGACAGCGCCCAAGCCCAGAGTTCAAACCCCATGACTGACAAAAAAAAAAAAAAAGAGAAAATACTGCTTCTTCAAATAGATTAATCCCTTGGTATCCCCAGGGGGGATAGAAAGGGGGATTGGTTCCAAAAATGATTCCTGGGAATACCCAAGTCCACAGGTGCCCAAATCTCTTATATAAAATGCTGCATGAATTATATATAAATTATATCCTCTCATATACTTTAAATATACATCTATATTATTTATAGTATCTAAATATAGGTCATTGTTATACTGTGTTCTATTTAGCATAATACAAGATGCTTGTAATGCTTATAGGTAAAATTTCTATTTTTTTTCTTTTGATGGTGGTGCTAGGGTTTTAATTCAAGACCTTGTACTCATGAGGCAAGCACTGTAACACTTGAGCCATGCCTCTAGCCTTTTTTGTTTTATTTTTGAGATAGAGTCTCGTTTTCTTGTCTAAGCTGGTATGGACTATAATCTTCCTATGTATGTTTCCTGCCTTCAATGAGACAGGCACACCACTACATCCAGCTTTTTTATTTGTTGAGATGGGGTCTTATGAATTTTTTGCCTGAGTTGGTCTTGAAACAGGAACCTCCAGATTTTAGTCTTCAGAGTAGCTAGGATTACAGGTATGAACCATTGGGTCATGCTATAAATCGAATTTATTTGTTTTTCAAGTATTTTTGATCTCTAGTTGGTTGAATCCTTCGATGCCAACCTATAGATATAGAGGTCCGACTATAATTCTTCTCCATCCTAACAACCAAGACCACAATTCTCTTCGGAGCTTTACACAACCTATTTGCTTTTTTCTTTCTTGCCCTTATATTTCTTAGTTATTACAAAGGATGGAAAATGTTTGTAGAGATTGCTGATGCATTGATAGGACAGAATTACAGAAGTGCAGCTTGAGAACCTTGATCCAAAAGAATCACAAGTCATGCCACAAAGGAGATTATCTGTGTCATCAGCAAGCAGAAGGGCCTGAACTTCATGGCATTGGCATGCTCTGAAACAATATTCTTGGCTATCTAATATTCCAGCCTAATTTTCATATAACAAATCAGGGAATACTGAGTTAAGAGTATTTATATTATTATTAATACATTATGTTATTATTTATATTTACATGACTGGAGTATAAAGAACTAAACATGAGGGAGAACTCGTGTTTTACTTTTTTCTGATGGCATTTGTTTTAAGGTGAAATGCAAACTAGAAAATCACTCTATATTAGAGAATATAATTGAGATTGCTTAAGGCAGACTGCCATCAACATTGCACAGGGATCTCTGAATATTCCAGAATTGCAACAGTCCTTTGAGCCACTTGTTTCTTTTTTTTTTTTTTACACTGCTGGTCTCATTACAGAACACTGCTGTCTGCCATTGTTTCTGACTACTGATAACCATAGAATAATGGCTAAATATACAGTTTCACTCACAAAACTAGCAAAACTTGATACCTTCAAGAGAAATAATGTTCACTCTATATTTAATATTAAGTGTAAGTTTCATTACCACCATCTGCAAAGCCAGTTGCAGTGATAATAGGTAGGGCCACCATAATTAGTCCACAGCTGCTCCAAACATACTTCATCAAGAACTGCTCTATCATGATGTACCACAAGCGTTTGGATAAAATCAGGTTCATCTGATCTGCTAAAGCTTTGTAACTTTGCTGGAGTTGCTTCATTTCTACCTATAGAGGGAAAGAGATAAGAATTAATCCAGCATTAGCTGCAAAACAATCCACTGCAACTGAGGATTTTTCTCTAAATGTTCTAGACATATTAAATCATTTTGATTACTGTAGTAAACATTATTGGTGAGTTTTACCAGTAAATGCAGATTACTATTAGAATTAGTCATTGTTTAGTTTGGGTTATATATGTATTATTTTTTAAACATGCTATTCAGTAATATAATGAAAACATAATGTTAACATAATGAAATATATACTAGTGAGCAGAGGGCTGGATTCAGTGGTAAAGTGCTTGCCTAGCATGCATAAGGCCCTGGGTTCAATTCTCAACACTACTAGATAGATAGAGATACCGATAGTTATTTATGTGTGTATAGACACGTGTACATGTATGTGTGTAAATATATATGCAAGTACATATATACCCAAGTACATCTATATACACAAATTATAATTGTTGCTTCAAATTCTCTATGATGTTAAGATTAAATGATATTCTCTAAGACCCAAATAAACAGAGTCAAATGTTCTTGAACACTTCAAAAGTATCTAAAAACAACCACATAACAAATAGAGTTACACATCTCTTTTGAATTGGCTCAATGCTCTTTTGTGCAACAAACAGCACACTGTAATTTACATCAAGTTCAATGATTCAAAAACAGTAACAAATCAGCAGTAATTCAACATATGAGGCCAATTTTCAAGCAGGAGTAGAGGTCCTAACATTGAAACTTTTTTCTTCAGGCTGTTTTTGTTAAACAACTCTGATAACATTAAAAAGTAAGCAATTCTGCCTGATACTTAAAATACTATCTTCAGATCTAAAACACCTTACCATGTCATTTGTCAAGGCATCTGTATGCAGATTTCAGATGTACCACCTTCAAAATGCCTGACCTCTGTAACCTCCATTCTGAGGTTCCTGCCGTGCACTACAGTTTTATGTAATTATGCTAATTGTTTGGAGGACCTGCTTATTACTTCAAGATCTTCAATACTGAAAAGTAGTATCCTAAAATTCTCCCCCCGCCCCCCCCACACACTTGCTTCCTCTTTAGTTGCAGCTTTTTTCACTTCCTCTTTTTATAAGATGTCAAAATTTGGTGCTGAGCAAGAACTAAGAGTAATGGAAATGTCATTCTGTAAAGCCCTCCCCTGCATTTCCTAGGACTTAAAAGGCTCCATCACTGGACAGACCTCAGAGTTGTCAAAACTCCTACATGAAAGCATGGCACCCCTTCTCTTCAAAAGCAAAGGAGCAACACCAACCAGGAATAATACCATCCTATGTGAAAAGCAAAGGAGCAACACCAACCAGGAATAATACCATCCTACGTGTTCCATCCGCGCAAAGGAGTTTACTTAGTTTACAAGTACATACTTTCTTCACCTTCACTAGAACCGCTTAACCAAGTTAGTATTACAAGTTTGGAGAAAATGCTTTGGAGATAACTTTGCTTCTGTTTGTATAACTGAAATGATGTAGACTTTCCTGTTTAAAGTCCATTCTATTGAAACTTTAGAAAAGCTGGCAGTTTACAATTCTTTAACAGCTTGTGATTTAAAAGGCTAATGAGGTCTATAGCTTTAACAAAAATTTAAGGATCAAAGGGATCTAAAATTCTAAGGAAGTAGGTCCATTAACAGTGTGGAAAATACAAACATACATGAAAACGTAAGACAGGTTTCTATGCATTATCTACACAAATAAATTAACCAGAGGATGTCAAACTAAGGAGAGGAGTCCGATAGTGTAACTCGTCTGAACAAGTAAGTGCTTAACAAAATGAATACCAGGAAGCTGAACTATGGTTTTTTTTTTGGGGGGGGAGGGCAAGAATAGAGGAAGGAAGGGTGAGCAAATACAGTCCTTATATTCAGCATACATTAGGTAAAAGTTGAACCATGTTACTTGAGGGTATGAAATAACAAGAACAGCAGCAAACACACACACACACACCAACCAATATAACAGATGGTATTTACTGCTGCACAGGCTGCTTGAACCGTCTCACGTTTCACCCATAACCTTTCAAGCCCTCTCTTACCTTATGTCCTCTGTAAAAAGCAATCTCTTCCACGTTGGCTATGATTCTAGAGTGCACATAACGCAAATAGCCTTTCCTGTGCGCCTCTTCTGCCACCAACTTCCCAAATTTGGGGGAGCAGGCTTTCAGCACCTTCGCAGTGGCATACACCACAAGTCCCGCCAGGAGGGTGGGCTCCAAGGGGCTTGCTCCCCTGGACACGGCCGTCTGGATGAGCGTATAGGAGGTGAGGATGACGTCTAAAATCGGTTTGGTCAGATTGGAATACAAGTGGGCCACGGACTGGGAGAACATCATGATATCTTCAGTCAGAGACTGGTCGGGATTGGTAAGCCTCCCATCCATATTGATCACCTTGTAATAGGTCTGATTTGTAAAGTAGGTTTGATAGGCGTGATGGACGAGGCGCGTTCGGAAAGCCAGCGCCAGCTTGCACTCCAGGTACCGTATGGCACTGTTGACGAAGGTGGCAGGAATGGCAATCAGGAGCCACTTGATCAATTGGAAGATGAAAGTCCGGGACTGCTTTTCCACGATGCTCTTCACGATCTTCCCATCCAGCCGGGCCACATAGATGGACAGGAAGGTTCTCGAGATGAGAGCCACCGAGTGGAGGCACAGCCAGCCGGTTTCCGTGCTCACAAGTTTGGGAAAGAGAATCTTCCGAAGTTGCAGCAGCTGCCTGCAGAAATCCGCGTTCAACCCGGGAGCCGGTTTCCCGCACCGGGTCTGGGCGCAATGCGGTCTTCCCCGGCCCTCTCCAGCAGCTCGCTCCCCGCGGCCGGCCGGCTTCTGCTTCAGGCGCTGGCCGACCAGGGGACCGAGGGTCTTGAGCGCGTACGCCGCGGCCAGCAGGCAGGCGGCCCGCCGGGCGG